TTTTTTCTCACGTGCTGCACCTGTTAAAAAAATAAAATAAAATAAAAAAAAGTGACAAACTCTCTAAATCTCAATGTCCTCAAAATGATAATGATAGAGTTGAAATGGAAAAAGGTTCCATATGCTTCCGCTGTTAGTAGTTTGATGTATGCTCAAGTTTGTATTTGTCCCGATAATATTTTTGCTGTTAATGCTTTAGGGAAATACTTGAGCGACCCGGGTTTGGATCATTGAAAAGCCGTTAAAAAGGTCTTTAGGTATCTGCAGGGAACCAAAGATCATATGTTGACCTATAAGAAGTCTGATCAACTTCAGGTCATTAGTTATACTGATTCTGATTTTGCTGGTTTCCCTATCGACCAAAAATCTACTTCCGGCCTTGTTTTTATGATGGTAGGAGAAGCTATTTCTTGGAAGAGTGTTAAACAGACTCTTATAGCTACTTCTACCATTGAGACAAAGTATGTCGCTTGTTATGAGGCTACCTGTCAAGCTGTGTGGCTTAAAAATTTGATTTATGGCTTTCATATTGTTGAAAGTATTTCTAGGCCACTTGTGATATATTGTGACAATATTGCTGCTGTACATTTCTCTCAAAACAATAGAAGTTCTACTCGCTCAAAGCATTTTGATATAAAATTTCTATTTGTTAGAGAGAAGGTTTTGGATTTTCATACTCGAATTGAGCATATTGGTACAAAAAAATATGTTAGCAGATCCATTGACTAAAGACTTAGCTATTGGAGTTTTTCAAAAACATGTAGTCTACATCTAATAGAGAAACAGGAACGAACAATAATAATCACGTAGATGTAGAGCAAGCAAATTTCAATCCCGATAATGTGACTAATGTGACCAGGGGGCAACGTCTTCATCCCCTGTGTTACGCGAAAACACAGCTAGGCAAACAAATGTTACTCAGGAACTAGCGAATGTCACTAGGGAATATCCCTGGGGTATGCCACAGAATTGGCGAAATACCCAACCTGTGCATGTCGAAATGCCAATACCGTTAATAAGACCTAATTCACAAATGCATGTATCCCCACAGGGATATAATCCTGGGCCGAATGGCATGGGTTTTGTTATGCAGAGTAAAAAGAATCCATAAAACAAATTCCACCGTAAACAAATTGGCACGCCCAGTGGGACTTGTTTAAATCAAACATAATTGGACTAGTTTTGGGTATGTGTGTTGCATGAGACTTAGGAGTGTAAGAACAATGTCTACATCTAATAGAGAAACAGGAACGAACAATAATAATCACGTAGATGTAGAGCAAGCAAATTTCAATCCCGATAATGTGACTAATGTGACCAGGGGGCAACGTCTTCATCCCCTGTGTTACGCGAAAACACAGCTAGGCAAACAAATGTTACTCAGGAACTAGCGAATGTCACTAGGGAATATCCCTGGGGTATGCCACAGAATTGGCGAAATACCCAACCTGTGCATGTCGAAATGCCAATACCGTTAATAAGACCTAATTCACAAATGCATGTATCCCCACAGGGATATAATCCTGGGCCGAATGGCATGGGTTTTGTTATGCATGACCCATATCAACATGTAGGGACAAGTTAGGAGGGTTCCCTGATTCGACAGGGTAGTTACATACCTACTGGTATTAGTAACCAAGCTATGATGGCTCTTCGACAACAGATGGATCATAGTAATCATGACATGGTTAATCTGTTGTCAACCCAAATGCATAATATAATGACTCCTTTGTATGAATTAATAAA